ATTCACAATTATTGTCTTTGAATGATATAACATATACAATATAAATACAATCTAGGAATAATTATAGAGTGGGTATTATGATTTTTATTTATCCATACAGATAAATAAATAATATGTAAATAAAATAAACCATCAAATTATTATAATCCATTATCCAATAATATTTATAAATAAAGTTTTATAGTCTGTCATCAAATCAATCTGATTAATATACAGATGTATATTTCGTTTCGTTTTTTTATACTTTCGATGGCCCACACTACATGAAGATCTGACCGGTTGTAGTAAAAGGTCGCGCCAGAGGTTGTACGAACTGCTTTTGACCCTATGACGTCAGACATTGATTAATCAATCAGCAGTGACGTTTCTAGTGGCTTACTCACAGTTCCGTGCATCGAAGCCAAGAAGTCACCATAAAAGATGGTTTCATAGGCTAATCCTTCACGCCTTCCAGAACGCAGGTTATATAACAACTCCTCTAGATCCTAGTGTAGTACAGACAAATAAAACAAAATTTTTAACCATAAAAAAACAAAACGAAATAGGATCTGTGTTTTAATAAGATTGCATTCATCAAATAATATTTAAACATAAATTACTAGAGTCCACTATGAAATAAAAGTTTATACATAAAGTACTATAGTCCAACACAAGGTACAGTAATTGTGTATACATAAAATTGTACCATGTGTTAATATGTTCAGTTACTAAATGCCAATCAATGAAGTTATACTATAGTCCACTATACAATAAACATTTATAAATAAACTATAAACAGCTAAATTACATAAAAAATTCTACTGTCCACATCTAACACATGGATTGAAAATTTCATTTTTTCTTGTATACACTACTATCTTCAACTTATCCATAGAGAAAGGCGAGCAAAATCAGAAAATAATACTGGTATACAATGTGTACATGGTTTTTCATTCCATCCGAAGGACTAGACATGCTTTCCTTGTGACCATTTTTTTCTAAATGCTCAAGTTTCTTCTAGACTACAACGAACACCTGGTACTCTGGGTGGGAAGTGAATATAGAGATAAGTTAAGGCTGTCAATATTCGAAGTTTCAAATTGAAAAATTCTGATTTGTAATCCACATGGTGAAGACAGTAGTGATGGTATATACATGTATAAAAATCTCAATATTCATGTTAAAAGCCACTGGTTTCGTATGGCAAGCTAGTCCGAGATATAAATACGCTTTCAACTGAGTATTTTCCATCTTCTATCAGCTATTTATAATGTGTTACTTGATTTATTCACATAAATTGATAATAATTTAACATTCTATCTACGTTTAGCACTAAAAATATTCCATTACTTCATTCTAACTCAGAACTCTACACTCGCATAGTTAAACATTCAACACTCACATACATACAAGAGTATGATATTCAAACCATCCCCAGTTTAACATCCAAATTCATCAATGTATGAGACTCAAATTGAATCATTTAAAGTATGAGACTCAAATTCATCAGTCGAAGTACAAGACTCAAATTCTTCAATCAAAGTGCAAGACAAAAATTCATCAGTCAAAGTACAAAACTCAAATTCGTCAGTCAAAATACAAGACTCAAATTCATCAGTTAAAGTACGAAAAACTCAGATCACCTCCAGTATAACACTCAAAACTATCAGTCAAAGTACAAGACTCAAATTCATCACTCGGAGTAAAAGACTCACAACCATCATCCAAGCTTAACACTCAAAACTATCAGTCAAAGCACAAGACTCAAATTCATCATTCAATGTATGAAACTCAAACCACCCCCAGTTTAACACTCAAATTCATCAGTTAAATATGAGACCTCAAATTCATCATAGTGTGAGACTCAAATTCATCATAGTATGATACTCAAATTCATCATAATATGAGACTCTAATTCACCATAGTAATTTTACTCAAATTCATCATAGTATGAGACTCAAATTGAGTCAAAGTACAACCATCGGATCACTAAAATATTACACTAAGTTTAAGTTTATTTCAGCACAGATAATCATACTTTATGAAATAAATCCATGCTGACAGGGCGCCATGGTAACACAACAGATTTACACCAATATATCAGACATATGTCAACAAATGTCTTCAGAGAAAAAATAAAAGTATCTCTGAAAAATAAGTTTCTTCTGTAATCAAAATACTGTTTCAATCAAGTTTGAAACGTTTAGGATTATATATAATTAATACATGTATAAATAAAAGTTAAAAACATATAATATATATATACATGTATAAAGGCAGTGAATACAAAACGTCACACACCAAATTTCACTTACACGTAAACGGGCACAAAAACTAACAGCAAACATTTTTTAACATGCACAAAACATTTACTAATCAAACAATAAACATTTTTTAACAAGCACAAACATTTTGAAAGCCAAGTTTTAGACTAATAATAATTGGATATATTTGTATTGAAAGCCAAGTTTTAGACTAATAACTGGATATATTGGTTACAATTTATAATTCATCAGTGACGCGCAGAGATTTGGTGACACTGTAACCCGGGTATCATTTAATCTTGTGTATCTAGCACTAATATCTTTCATGTTCATTTATTATCAAATCTTTGTTTAATTTTTCGTACAAATCTTTTAAAATAACCCTATATACACAAGATTAAATGATATCCGGGTTACAGTGTACTGTTCTGGTCCAACTCCTTGATTGCATTGCCCGTGACAGAAATCCTTATTTCTTCCTATAATTCATTTATTTCAGTATATCAATCATTTTAGTATAGTATTCATGTCAGTCCCATGAAGTCATAGGCTCATGACGTCACTAGGGGAATGATGTAATAAAATATATATTTTTTGTTAGTGTTGAATTAAACGGTCATGTTTTAACAATAATTCTTGAATATTTTCACGAAGTCTCTATTATTTAAGTACAAAGCCTAGAACTTAGAAATGTGAGAAGGGAAGACATTTTAAATATCTAAGAACTGGCGAAATTTGCTTTTTATTCAAATTAAGTAGGGCACTCAGTTTGGTGAAATTAGCTTTTTGTTCAATTTAAGTAAGGCAGTTTGATGAAATTAGCTTTTTGTTCAAATAAGTAGGGCAGCTGGTACAACAATGTTAACAACTGTAATTTCACTGTTTAGTTGGATGTCCCCCTGAAATGGATGCTCGGAGTTGTCTGTCATCCCACTCTCTGCACGCCACTGTAATTTATAATTATATATTTATAAAATGTACAGAATATAAAAGGAATGGATTTGTAGAAATCAATATAAATCTTCTGATTGAATATAATACTGTTAGAATATCACAGGAGATTCAAAATGCTTTATATAATAATTGAATTATTCCCCTTTGATGTTCTGTTACCATGGGTACATGTGTATAATTGGCTGGTTTGTTTTAATGTTATATTTTGTCTGCGATATCATTTCAGTGGAAGCAGACGTTAAACAAACTTACACTACCACACACATTTTTCAAATTGGCTTCACTTCAGATTCCAATAGATTTTCAAAAGAGATATTTTTCCAACAATTATTTGATATAGGTGTGTCATTAAACCTTTCAATCACTCACCAAATCAAAACAAACCGACAATATTTATTCAATGGCTAGAGACTAGACAGCCATTTCTTTTAAGTATTATAATTAACGTTAATAAAATACATTATGCCATAAAAATGTCATTATTTGTAAAATTTAAATTTAAATGTATGTAAAATGTTTTGGTCATTAAAAGACTAGATTCAGTAAAGTACAACCGAATCATACAGGCCGACCATTTTCTGTACATAATCTGTGGATTCAGTCATTATTTTTTAAGGCGAACGATCGCTCTTGAGCACTTGCCGCTCACCTGAACATTGACTGAGAGGAGGTTTTTCTCCCTCTCCTTAAAATTGAAAATCGCTCTCCTTTACAAAGTTATGGGGGGGTTTATTATCATTTATGACACCAGGAATGACCGCCCTAATATGCAGTTATTGATCTTCAGAATAATTTCCCATACATACATCTAATCTCTCTCCTTAATATCAGATCACTCTCCTTAATTTCTTATCGAAACGGGGAGAGCTTTTTTAGGGGAGCGATTTTTTCAATTTGTTGATTAAGGGGAGCTTTTTTCGGCTCTCCTCTAAAATACAAACAATGACCGTGGATTATCAGTGTATCATGATTCTTGACAATGATTGACAGACGATGCACCGAGGATCAGCCTACAATACGCAGGATAGGTGGCCTGTAGAATGCCGCTGTACCATTTGGATAGTATTCAAAACTTGAGCATGAATTTCATGTAAAACTTAACAATGATTTTATGACTGATGTGAAATGTAAGTAGTTTTGGTGCCTTGTGGATTAAAAAAAAAATTTTATAAAATAATTTGATAGCATGCCCATATATCTATATTTTGATATTTATACAGTAATCTCACAGGAGCGGTGAATAGTATAAGTAAATAAATTCCCAGATATCAACCCAGTCTGATGGATTTTGCTCTATGACAGTTCATGTCGCCAACAGTTTTGGTTCATTCTGTAACTGAGGTTCGTTGTAACAGATTGAGCCAGTAGTGCAGAATTAAATTAATATCCAAGTCGTACTCAAACTTTTCAACACCCGTGCATTATTACCATATCCTTTTTTTACATAAAAATTTTGATACTTACATTAATTACAATTTATGTTCAATTTTGAGTGCAATGCATGTACATTACATCAAATTTGTTATATGAGTGCTCACACAAACATTTGAATATTCCAATTTGAATATTTATTCAAGGCTATTCGAATACATTTTTAGTATTTGTTACTCAATGTCAATTCGAATATATATTCAAGTCTTTTTGAATATATTTTTTAGTATTATTTTTGTCTCCAACTAAGGTTTAAAACAGATACAAGAAAATATATGGATTTGAAAGAACTGCAGTTTTCAAAAATCTCAATCAAAAATGGTTCATAAACTGATTATTTCGATTTAATTTAATATTTCAATAGCATACGAATAATGATTAAGAATACTGGATTCAGTATTCAATGTGACCAATAAGATATTTTATAGATAATTCGAATAATGACTAAGAATACTGGAATAAGCATTTGATATGACCACCAAGGTATTTTATAAAAGTTTGAACATTAATTATAAAAACATCAAAGGCTGTGATTAGGCTGTGCTGGTATTATTGGCACTTAGTTGAATGAATGATATTGGTTCGTTTGCAAGACTAGAAATTTCTGACGGTTCTCGTGTTTCAAGGCGTTGTTCACCTCCTATGTTGCTTTCAGCCTGCGATTCTTCCATTGGTTCATAATCTTCGGGTTTCTTGTATGCCAGGAACTTCAATCCCCTAATAAAATAAAAGATATCCATCTATAACCTATATAAGGTTAATCAAGAACTGAAATTAAATCAGGTATAACGTCCTACTGATCTGCTCCTATACTGGGCTAATGAAGATGGGCATACACCATACAGTGTGCTATGAGGGAAATTTTGCCTGGACAGCGGCGCTACAGCCTACTCTTTTATCGACTTCCAACTCCCAGAGGATCTTTTACATGCATGCCATAATCTCATCCAAATGACTAGATAACTGTCCTCGTCAGGTCCTCTGTCCTGCATCACTGACAAGGGAGAACAGCGCCGGAAAATCTGGATGAACTTTCTCGGCCAATCAAGAAAGGCTAGAGAAATGAACTGGGGATTTAACGCATATTATTGCTGTGCCAACCTGGCTAATAATAAAGGAGGGCACATGCCATGCAATGTGCTGTCAGGGAAGTTTGCCTAGTTCAGCCCATTTCTACCCACTCTTCATCAAAGGGGTCTTTGACGTACACGCCAAAAAATACACTAGAAGTGTTTTTGCCCTATCCGAATGACAGCTAACATACTTTCCTTGTTGGCTCCACCCTTGACATGTGAGAACTGGGCTTGATGAATCTTGAAAGTTCCTCTCGACACATACCTGAATACTAGCCCAAGAGGGAAGTGTCCTATCACTTGACTATTAAGATCCCATTTGTACAATGACTGTTGTTCCAATACCCTCCCGATATCTATATATATCTACATCACATTCATACTTATGCTGACCTTAAAAATAACTTTGTTTCACCATACCCAAGCCACAATCAAGGATACTGGTCGGTAAGTATTTTTTTTTAAAGTCAAACTTGAAGAGCTACATGTAATTAAACAGTTTGATCCTTTTCCGGTGAAAACATTTGTCTTCTTTGTGGGCATACAAATCAATAGCAATGACATCAGGATTTTTAGTGAGGTACGACTCGCACATGATGCCACGAACTTGAAGCGCGGATTTCCCTTAACGATCGGGTGGGTTTTGCATTCATGGGAATGGCCACACTTTTGTCTGCAACCATATGATGCTTTTGTCTTGATTAACCAGGGGTGGTTTTAGTCTTACAATGTAAAGGACAGAGGTAAAACTAGTAATACAATAGATACTGTTCTCCATTGCCCTCCCTATATCTATTAAGTTTATACTTACCATGTACATGACAGAGGTAAAACTAATATAATAGATACTGTTCCATTACCCTCCCTATATCTATTAAGTTTATACTTACCATGTACATGACAGAGGTAAAACTAATATAATAGATACTGTTCCATTACCCTCCCTATATCTATTAAGTTTATACTTACCATGTACATGACAGAGGTAAAACTAATATAATAGATACTGTTCCATTACCCTCCCTATATCTATTAAGTTTATACTGACAATGTAAACGATACATGTAAGACTAGTAATATAATAGATACTGTTCCATTACCCTCCCTATATCTATAAGATTTATACTTACAATGTAAACGATACTGGTAAGACTAGATCTATAAAGTTTATACTTACAATGTAAACGATACTGGTAAAACTAGTAGTATAATAGAAACTATTAACACCGTCGCTCTATAATAATGTAGTGTGCCAGCGTATATCGCTGTAAACATCAATGGTCCGAGAAAAAATATCAAACTCTCACCACAGTGCATCAGGGCAAATAAACTACCTGAAAAATACATAAGAAAATAGTTTGACCGACAGTGAAATGCCATTATTGTCTTTATTGTAGATATGGCTCAATATTACCACACCAGGATTCATAACACAGAGAAAATTCCAGCCTGTTATTTCATTGAGAAATGAAAGGAAATGAAATGGGTTTAACGTCCTACTGTTCTGCTCCGAACTGGGCTAATGAAGACGGGCATAGGCTATGCAGTGTGCTATGTGGGAAATTTTGCCAGGACAGCAGCACTACGGCCTACTTTTACATCAAATTCCAACTGTCAAGGGATCTTTTATGTGCACGCCAATATGTACATGTACACGGGACCTCGTTTTTTTCGTCACTCAGCCACCGTGACCTCTATTCCCTTGAAAGTGCCAGTGGTGCAGGATGGAGGGTTCAACAAGGATCAGTGTCTAGCACGGTACCACAAAAAACTAAAGTCCTGTGTAAAGAACCCTCGGCAGTTAGAATTTGACTAAGAGAGAGTGAGAAATGGGATCGATGGATTGGACTGGATGGTAAAATGATTGAACATCAGGCATTTATGCTATTTGGAGGAGGTGAGAGTTGAATAGAGAGCTCTAGAGCTCTAGAGAGAAATGTGGTTTAACGTCCACTCACACAAACCAGGTCATTTCAGGACTAACATACAGTTAAATTTTATTTCAGGCGACCCTACTCCTTATCACAACCATGCCACTTGACTCAATGAGAGACCTTGTGTTTTCATACGCATGCGTTAAACCACCAGACCATCCACTGAGATGTAAATAAGGTTAGGGCACGTGATTGCTGGCAAGATTGTACATGTGGGTTAGGATTAGGGTAACTACTAAGCATTATGGCTAGGTCCAGGGTTAGTGTTAGGGTTGGGATCAGAGCAAGCACGTTTACATCTCGTGACCTTTGATGACCAAACTTGAAGTTGGCCTTATCAAATAGATCTAACGGTAGAAACACGACTGTATGGACAAAATTTCCAACATTTCCTATCTGATTGTTAAAGCCCATTTTATTTCATTTCTACATCAATTGTAATATTATAGTATAGAATCTATACTGTAGACTTTATACACTGATAAAACAAAATAAATATTAAAACTATTAATGATCAAAATAGTAGTGCAAACAGACATTTTTCTCCACTTGGGAAGAAAGAAATAAAAATCAATAGTTTAATCAGCCATTACTGATCTGATTACTGGCATTGACATGATCCACCTGGCTTATATAATCAATATACATGAGTTATTTATATAATAGATCACAGTAATATCTATACATTGTATATAACAAAACATGCAATATACGTATAACCACCAGTAATATACTACACACAACATTTCAAAACCAAGAATATTAATAAATATCATTATTATTAAAGGAGTTAAATCTCTGAATAAGGTCATAAGGTATTTTATGTTATATCAGCATTAAGTGTATTCATTGTATATTAATCAAACATGGAATAGACATGTATAAAGACCGGTAATATACATGTACAGTATGACAAAACACAGCATTTCAAAACCAAGAATATTATTAATATTATAGGAGTTCAATCTTTAAATGTGGTCAAAACAAAGTATTAAAATGAAATGGAATGCCAGCACCAAATGGAAATGAAATAGGGTTTAACATCTTACAGTTCTGCTGCGAACTGGGCTAATGAAGACGGGCATACGCCATACAGTGCGCTATGAGGTAAATTTTGCCCGGACAGCGGCACTACGGCCTGCTCTTATATTGAATTCCAAATGTCAAGGGATCTTTTACGTGCACGCCAATGTGTACACTGGCCTCAGTTTTTTGTCCCATCCAAACGACTAGACAGATGTGTTTGTCAGGCCCTTTGTGGGCTTTACTGTGCCAAATATATGACAACAATTGAATAAAGTAGTGAATTCATTTTATATGCTGTGTTGTGAATAGGACAAGATCTTCAGTTTCGATTTTTTTTTTTTGAAAGATTAAGTGATAGTCAGCTTGTTTACTGATTTTAGTTTTATTTTTGGCTGAATGTGTCATTTCAATTCTGACTTTATCTATATGTATAGACCTGGCCTTTATCTATAGAACTGGGTGACTAAATGCAGGGATGTCCCCAGGATTTTCTGAGTGGGGGAAAAAATAGCTTGCGAGCAGTGCAAGGAAAAAAAAAATTGGGGAGGGGAAGGGGCTGGGGGCCGTGGTCTTTTATGAAAATTAAACCCTTCTTGGTGTATTTTCAGAGCATCTGCCGCCTAATTTATTTTTTTGTGGTAAGTGTAAATAAAATGGACTGTAGCATGAGTACATTAAAAATTGATCGTAAATCTGAAAGTATGACACCATTTACGACATCCAAACCTTTAACATTGGAGTGCCGTAAATTGGTCTAGGTGACCTTTTTACGGCAAGTACACAAATTTAAAGACTGTAGAATTGTAAAATAAATAGACCTACACAACTTCTAAATATAAATAAACAAAATACCAATACTTCTTTCTTTAAACTAATTTGGGATGATAGGGTCTACTACGGCACACAAAAATAAATTATGCCATGGCAGACATGATTTACGTCGGCTTTTACCATGGCTTTGCCGTTTGCAGTGGTAAATTTCGAGCACTGAGTTTGTGTACAGAGAAGGACGAAGGGGTTTAAATACGACTGGGCGGCTTTCTTCGATTTTTTCTATGTGATTGGCAGCAAAAAATAGTGCCAGGTGCAAGCGCCCGGCGCGGGCTCATCCCTGCAAATGGTCTAATGTGTGCATTTTAGATGATAAGGTATGTCATTGAGTCAACTGGTGTCTATGAATGTGACAAGGAGAAGGGTCACCTGTCCAACCTCATGGGTATTCTCTGGGTCCTCCAGGTTCCTCCCACTGCCAAAAAGAGTTTTTTTATAAAGAATATGGAAATAAAATCAAACAATATCTTAGTCCCGAAATGGTATAGGTTGGGTCAAGTGGAAGTGAAACCCCATTTCTCTCACTCTCTTTTATCAGATTATCATCTACAAATACAAAGTACATGATTTAATGGAATTGACAGAGTTCTAGTCATTTCTCCTCCTACAGTGAAAAGTAATTTCCCGATCAAAAAAAATCAGGATGATCATGCTTAAGAGATCAGTATACTTTACCTTGATCAGCGGGAGCTATATCACGTGATACCAACGATCGTAACATTGGAAATGGTAGAAGTTCAAATGCCAACAGTAGAATAGCTGAAAAATCATAAATATAAAATCTCAGAAATATACAAAAACATCACAAAATAATATATATTTTATATAACCCCTTACAAACACTGTAGTGGTCATATTGTCATCACCAATGTCTGTCAATTTTCTCACCAGTCCAGTGCTGCTTGTGCACTGTAGAATTATCAATGTTATTTTTTGTCCAAGAACTGGACCCCAAGCGCTACTCATCTTTTTGGTCTCCGCAAACATCGTATTGACTACGACACAAAGGGGCGACGGCAAGACGTACAACCTCAAGAGGATGTCACTTTCATGTCGTTAATTGATGGTCAAGTTTCGAATTTATGACATAAATTTTGAATTCTTCCAGTTCTGTGAAAATATGAAAGAATTTCCTCAACCATTCCTTCTTGGGAGCATTCATTTTAATAATTTTGCATGTAACCTTATGACCATTGACCTCAAGAAATGTAAATTGTCAAGGTTACTTTGTTATAGTGTATATGTGAATAGGTTAGCCCATTGTCAAGGTTGCTTTGTTGAAATGTATGTGAATACATGTAGGTTAGCCTACATTGTACATCATGTGTATGTTGTTTGTAAAAGTGGAATTTATTTTAAAAAACATTTGACTTTAACATTAACGTTATCATGTTTATGTTTCTATTTGTATTTTGCATCTTACATGTACACGTAGGTACAGTATAAGGTATTTTTTATTATGCATATTTTATTTCCCCCCATAGTCTCCAACCTTGTACTATTGTAGCGGTGGTCGCTGAGCGGATAACTGTCATGAAACTATATGCCAAGTTCCATCACTCTCCATTAGAACAAAAGTTATTATATTCTAACGCATCGACAAATCAAATTGTTTATCTCTGCTTAGCCATACCAGAAAACTCACCTAACAAATGTCTAAACCAAGTTTGAACAGTCTATCTGAATTAATAGCTGTAGCTGTTCTAAAAGGTTGGAAAGCCATGCAGACAAACCAAACTGAATAGTCCCGGAATACATGATGGTAGAAGAATAATAAAATCGGGAGGATTAACATCATGCTTTTCTGCTCCAACTGGGCTAATCACAATCTGATTAAAATACAGATCTATATTTCATTTCGCTTTTTTATACTTTTCATGGCCTCTACCACATGTACATTAAGATCTGACCAGTTGTATTGAAGGTTGAGTCAGGGGTCATATAAGCGGCTTTTGACTCTTTATGTCAGACATTTCATTAACCTATCATCGTGGATGTTTCTAATAGGATACCCACAGTTCTGTATAACATCTCTTCCAGATCCTAGTGTAGTAAAGACTAGTAGTAAAACGAAATTTTGAACTATAAAAACCAAAAAACCAAATAGGATTTGTGTTTTAATCAGATTGGGCTAATCAAGACAGTCATTGCCATACAGTGTGGTATGTGGGAAATTGTTCCCAGCTACATGTACATGTACCTTTCAAATCAAATGAAAACATAAGCGTACACAGGACCTCATCTAAATGACCAGACACTATTCCTTGATAGGCCCTCCTCCTACACCAAGCACTGACAAGGGGAAACCTGGCTGCAAAATCCTAAGACCTCCTGGTTAGTGAGGTTGGTCTAATTTATATCAAACTAACATTCTTCCACTGACATGGAGTCTAGTGGTGTACATGACAAGGAGTAGGGTCGCATGTCCAACCTTGTGGGTTTTCTCCGCACACTCCTGTTTTCTATACACGCAAATGAATTCTTGATATAAAATGGAACCATAGATCAGTCCCAAAATGACCTAGTTTGTGTTGAGTGACGTCAGTGAACGTTAAACCCCATTTCTCTCTCTCCACATGCCATGTAACATTTTGAGCAGAGAGCAACAGTATTTAATATCTGTTTATTTTTAATCAGCAAATAAATGTAGGTCAGGAAGATTTTTATTTAACCAAGACAGTGTACCTACATATACTTGTACTTATTCATCTAGTTAAAAAGATTTTTGTTAATTTAATAGGCGATGTCTGGTTTATGTAAATTTCCTTTAACAAAAGAAAAGGTAATTTGTAACACTCCAGGTATGCATGCACAGGTAAGTAAAATGATCTGAGTTTGAGGATTTAGTAAAGACAAGAATTAAAGGAGAATTTTAACTATTACTGTTTTATTTTTTATTTTAAAGCGGAAATTGCAAATTTTCAAGTTATATTTTTAAAATGTATTAAAATAAAGCCTTAAAATAGATGGTATCCATAAACAGTCCTACCTTGTTAAAGAATAATCCTTAATCCTATAATTCGCTATAGCCAGCTGAGAAATTGGCAAAAATATCATTTTTAACTTCAAATTCCAACGTTGAAAAATGGCTGCCCAATGTTGTCAATAGCAAAACAGGGGAGGTAATTGTGTTGTTATTTCCTGTGTCATAGATTTTTAAGGGTGGGAATAATGCCCATGATCGTATAATAGTGATTTGATAACCTATTGAGCAAAAGACATAGAAATAATTATGTTTTGACTTTCTTAGAAAATTTGAAATTCTCGCTTTAGTGTGAATTAATTAGAACAATGTAAAACATGAAATGCAATTTTATTGATCTTAAATTAACAAATCAGGATGCATGTTTGAATCAAATTAAAATTAGGTAATGAATAAAAAATATAAAAAAGTATAGTCATTGTTATTCTCCTTTAAGGCTAAACATCCTGTGGCCCCCTCCTTAGAATTGTCATAATTTAACAGGTGTGATATTATGTGATATGAATGTATTTATATCTGTGCAGGAGTGACAATATTACCTGGAAATAGGAGGAGATGTATTGCCTAATAGTAATACATTTACATGTACATGTAACTCCTGCTTTTGTTTCACATGTACCGGTACATGTTGACTTGTGACTGACCTGGACTTATAGAAATAAACATACTAATGTCATTTACACTGCCCGCTACCAGCAGAAATAAGTAAATAAAAATTTGGCACAGTTAATTCTACTACAGGTATCTGTTGTCACACAGTGACAGACAGTAGAATACAGTGTGTGCTTATTTCAATGACAATTTCTCCAGGATTAAACATCATTGCAATTGAGAGAGAGGGAGAGAGAGGGTTTAACGTCCACTCGACATAAACTAGGTCATTTCGGGACTAACACATGGTTCACTTTTACTTCAATAATTTGCATGCTCGTAGGGGTCTTTTGCAGTGGGAGGAAACCGGAGGACCCAGAGAAAACCCACCGTATGATACAGCGTGCGCGTGCTAACCATTCGGACATCCCCCCCCCCATTTCAATTGAATATGTTTTATGAGCTTGCTTAGTGTGGCAATGGGTGTATGTACTGTACATGAAACTATAATCATACCAGATATTCGTCTACATATTTAAGTCTGGAAATAAGGTACCTGTCACAGATAATGTCAGGCACAAATTGAGACTTTGTCAAGACACAAAACCTATGGTGCTTGTCATTTTGTCCGACATTGATTTGTCTTTTTTACTGATTTTATTAAATTAGCCTACTACATGTAGGCCTACATGTCCGGCACAAAGTTTAAAATACATGTATCAGGGTACTAGTAGATGACATGGAGCTGCCGCTGCACTTTTTGTGTCTATAACCTCCGAAGCCGAAAGCGGTAGGTCAACGCCACCCTAAATGTATGTTACTCCCCGGTCCGAGCTACCCCTATACATCAAATTTCAGCCTTGCCAACTTGGAACAGCCCTAGTGTACCCGCCAACCCTAAACAAACAAACAAATGACAGTCATAAATATTGATATGGATTAGTCGGTCATAAATATTACATAATAGATTAGTTTATTAGGGACTGTCATTTTGTCAAGTACAAACAGGTAAAACGGTTTCGAGAAAATAAAATCTTACCAAAGTATAAAACTGTCTCATTTTGAACAACAGCAATCCACAGTGTTCCAAGTGCTTTTGACAGGAAACCAAGAATGATGATGGTTGTGTCCGAGAGGAATCTTTTAAACAGAGCTGGTGTCAATGCCGTCGCCAAGGCAGCTACAACCATAATGACGGAAAGGAACACCCCTATTGATACGCTTAATCCAGTTACTTCCAAATGAGTTTGGTGTAAATATTTCTGACCACCCAAAAACATAACCATTGTGTTCTCTTGCCCAATATGCACAAGTGCGTAGGACTGGAAGGCCAGCGTAGCCAGCCATATTTTGATTAAAGGCTTATTTTGCCCACACTTGAAATATTTCATTATGGGAGTAAATGTGTCCTTCAGACAGTTTCCAGTGTCACGTCGTCTGTTGGGAGAATCTCGATTTTGCGGAATTTCCTGGATGAGAAAATACGAGATCAACAAAGCAATCATGCTGCAGATCAACGCAAACCAATATGGCTCTAAAAATCCACTGTCCTTTACCCAAAACCCAACCATGATATTAGCAATGGCATACGCGCCTCCATTCAGAAATTCTTGGATGGCTAAGCGTGAAACTCTCTCGTGGGGTTTGACTGAATTGATACCGAAGTAAGTAGCACCTGCTAAAAATGCTGTCATACTACCACTTAGTCCCCTAAACGCGGAAGCCATGAACAATCCATCGAGGTTCCAGCCAGTGTACATTAAAAGAACGTAAATCAAACAATACAAGACACTCCCCAAACATGGCAACCACAGCATGATTCGTCGACGACCCGTTCTATCACTAACGGCACCAAGTATAATCACAGTAATAACAGCCGGCAGACCTTCCGCAATTTGAAGTCCCAAGATGGACAATGCACTGTCATGTTCCGCTTCTTTGATTGACATACTAAGATTCGCCTGGTTCATTTCCAAAGCCATTTCCAGGAATTTTACATGATGCTGTTTGTGGATTTCCTCTGAAACATATTCCTGGAAAAGAGGAAGTGTCATGTGTCGTGACAAGAAGAAGAAAAATAGTGCCACCTCCACAAAATATTTCTGGATCGTGTCAAAATAATGCCAACACTTTTGACACTTTGGCTCTGTTTCTACTCCTGCCTGCGCCATGCTGTTGGTGGTATAAAAAGTCAATAATGTTGTTCCTGGCCTTGAATTTCTGAAAACAGAAGTCAGAAGCGAGACGCTAACTCACGCTGTAAAAACTAAAAAAGTTCACTTTTCACTGTCGAATTTCTTCTGTGGGGCCACGATATTTCACTCCACCAAAATGTCGACAGGAAACATTTATCCCTTTTAATTTATAACTCCTTGAATTTGGCTATGAGTCATATTTATTTTATCTTCCCTCGAAATCGCATCAGTCTTAGGTCATTTCAATTGATAATAAAACGGATTGTTTTGACCGACGGGATTGCCTTTGATATCAGCGCCACTGGGAAGATAACTCTACAGACACATGTCCAACTAAATGGAGTTACTTCCCTTTAAATATTAGTAGCTCTCTTTCTAGACTAAACTGAAACTTATTGACGGAAATGTACCATGCAGTGTGCCGTGAAGGAACTTTGACCAGATAACGGCGTTTTCGCCCACTTTTCTGTTATCCCATCCCCACTTTCAAACGTTCTTTTTATTGTAAGTGCCTACACCAACGTGCACGCGAACCTTGGTTTTTCGTCCCATCCGAAGAATTTTACCATGAACCTCACCAAGCCACCAGCTCTGGATAGTCCGTATTCTAATCACGTCTTTAAGAAAATAAAACACCACATCCATAATTTTAACAATAAAATTAAAGCCTCAAATTCGGTTGAACAACGAGTAAGGCGCTAGCTCATTGAGGCCACTCGGCCGTCCATGATTCGATCCAGATGATGGCCGAGGAAAATCCCGAAAATTTTCATGTGTGGTTTCCCTTTAGCAACAGTGCATGGAGCAGAACCGGAGAAGGAACAGCGTTTAGACGGCCGGGTGCTACGCACAAAGCCCTATCAAGGCCCCGGTACAAGCAACTCCAGCTTCATTTTGGCGTATATATCTTGGGGAAACTGGATTTCATTTTGCTAAAACACAGACACTGAGATTTAATACAACATATGGCATACCACAAACATGAACTACGTTTTAGTTTCACTGATGTAGCCTAATAAGCAAGACCATCAGACGCCAAAATATCAAACAGTTTTTGTTTTTTTACATAAGTATTCGTTTATTTTTTCAATACCCCAAATCACGTTGAACTGGATTCCAACGGAACTTTTTGTGCACACTTGATAGCTCACCATCACTGTAGCTTTCTACGGGCCCCGACCTGGCCCTGCTTACCTGCTAGGGACGGGATACCGTGACGGTGATGAGAGCCTCAAACCGATCAAGAACAGATCGGGACCCCACGGCGCGAAGGCCTTGGCAGGTGACTTATAGTTTTTAATTCACCATAAAATCGAGGTCCCATGTACACGTTGGCGTGCACGTAAAAGAACTGCAACCTAATTGCTGTAGCCTATCAACTATGTATATCAACTAGGCATCAGTCTACTGTGACTTGGTCAATAAGTTCACGAAATCGAAACACGATTTTCAAAGGAAATATGAAATGAAATGGGGTTTAACGTCCAACCGGTCTAATGAAGGCGACATGGGGGAAATCTTGTCCGGATAACGGCACCTCCGCCTTTTACGATAAAATGTTCTTGTACGTTCACAACAATTAATGTGTACACATAGGACCTGTGTTTTTAAAATAAAATTTTAGACACTGTCCCGCCTTACCCACAATGGCTCCAAGAAGGAAACGTGGCATTGAAATGGGCTACGTTATAAAAAAAATTGAAATAGGCTACGTACGCCTTTAAAAACCAAAAACCAAAAAAAGCTATTCAAATGACATCATTGCCATAATTTACTTAATACCCGGCACTGCATATCAATGCAGACAATTCAATTAGTCAAGAAGTTTTGAACACCTGCTTCAAACGAATGTCAGACATGGAAGTGTGCATCAGAAAATTTCAATCAGGATAACGTATATATATACTGACAAATAAATGACGTCATTTGCAGATAAATAATTGGGAAACGTCATAGAAGATTTACATAACGAAAGGAACTACAGTGATTGAGTGAAGGAACTCGATGCCAGGTACAAGTTTTGGTCAGATACATTTTAAATAGACATTGAATTAACTTATTTTAATTAATGAACGCGGCATCCATTGAAGCTGATCATATAGCTAATATACCTGGATGTCTTCAATGGGATTATAAAGATGTGGCTAACTGGGTGGAAGAAATAGGTTTTCCACAATACAAGGTAAGAATAGGCAAGGATTTGATGTTGGTGCCCTCCTCCAAATGGTCGAACGCTTGCGCTGCAGATCTAAGGTCGGTTATTGAGTCAAATGGCGTGGTTTCGATTCCCAGCTTGTACGCGACAATGAGTAGGCCTAGTGTTTTCTACGGGTCCCACAGTTTTCTCCCACTGCTAAAGATCCCTAGCCGCAAGTGAATTATTGAAATAAAATTGAACCAATTAATTGTTAGTCTCGAAATGACCTATGCATATCTCAATATATACACAAAGATAAAACGCGAAGTATCCACTTCATTTTTCACAATGTTTTACGGTTTTGAAGTTCAGACACGGCTAATATAACCTCGGAAAAACAAATGTGGTTTTCTAGAATACGTCGGGGGGGGGGGGGGGGTCATACGAACGGCTTTTGAACTTTTAACCAATCTGCGTTAATGTTTCTAGTGAGGTACTCAGTGTTCCTTTCCACGTACGCCAAGGACTCGCCGTAATAGACCGTTTCATTGGCTAATCCCTCACATGAACCAGATCGCGGGTTATAAAACAACAATTCCAGGCTCTTCCAGATCCTAGTACAATAAAGACAAGTAAATCCAAATTTTAACAATGAAAAACTAAATGAAACATGATCTGTGTTTTAATCAGATTCGTCTTTGACAATAAGAAAACACAAGGAGTTTATCCAGTCCCGTGTACACATTGGCGTGCACGTAAAAGATCCCTTGGCAGTTGGAATTCGATATAAGAGTAGGCCGTAGCGCCGCTGCCCGGGCAAAATTTCCCCCATAGCACACTGTATGGCGTATGCCCGTCTTCATTAGCTCAGGTTAGGAGCAGAACAGTAGGACGTTAAACCCCATATCATTTCATTTCATTTCCAATCTGATTAAAATACAGATCTATATTTCGTTTCGTTTTTTTATACTTTCGATGGCCTACACTACATGAAGTGTAGTAAAGACAAGTAAAACGAAATTTGGAACTATAAAAACGAAACGAAATAGGATCTGTGTTTTAATTAGATTGTTTCATTTTTATCCAGTTTTGAGATTTTAATCATGATTCTGAAAATAATTCCAATGGGCCGTATTTCAGCCAAAAGGGAGTTGCAATAAGTATGGCGGTGCAGAGTCAGAAGCACAATTCAACATCGTGATTGAAGATGAAAAATGTCGTTTTGCTTCCACAGGTGACATTCATTACACAGATAGTCAATAGCGGGTAAACCATCCACGTGCCAAAGATAAGACGGAGATTACCTAACATTTTTTTCTTTGTGCATACGGGGTAGGGGTTTGGATGGCCGAATGGTTAGCACGTGCGCGCTGTATCATAATGTCTGTCATTGAGTCAACTGGTTTCGATTGATTCCCCGGTTGTACGTGACAAGGAGTAGGGTTGGGTGTCCAACTTCGTGGTTTTTCTCTGGGTTTCCTCCCACTGCTAAAGACCCCTACGCGCATGCGAATTATTGAAATAAAATTGAATCATATATTAGTCCCGAAATGACCTAGTTCGTGTCGAGTAGACGTTAAACCCCTCTCTCTCTCCCTCTCTCTCTCTCTCTCCTTTAGCTGTGGGAGGAAACCGGAGGACTCGAAGAAAACCCACAAGGTTCGACAGGTAACTCTACTTCTTGTCATGTACAAGGGACCACACCACTTGACTCAATGACAGATCTTGTGATTTCAAGACCACCTGACCCCCCCCCCCCTCTCCTCGTGAATGTATAGAGAAGCCCATTGTAGTAATTATAGTTTTTCTTGTTTCACATATTGAGGTAGCTTGTTCCACGGGACTGGTGCTGCTACAGAGAAAGCCTTACCACCACACGATACGAGATTTGTTCTCGGAAAATCAAGTTCTTGTATATTTGACGACTTGGTTGTTCTTTGATGGGATTTTATTTGAATTAAGTCCTGGAGATAGCTCGGAGCTGTGGCATGAAGACACTTGTATGCCAACAGTAAAATCTTAAATTCTACGCGTTTCCTCACAGGTAGCCAATGAAGCTTCCTTAGAATTGGTGAAATATGATCATGAAGTTTGGGTTTAGTAATAATTCGGGCAGCTGTGTTTTGAATCTTCTGTAGACGATTTAATGAAGTTGTTGGGAGACCGTAAAGTAGAGAGTTACAATAGTTGAGACGAGAAGTTATGGAGGCATTGACAAGAGTTTTGGTTGAATCCACATCAAGATATTTTCGAATTTTACTTATTTGGCGCAGCTGAAGGAAACAGGATTTGGTTACAGAAGAAATATGTTTAAGTTCATGCACGAATCGAAGATAACACCTATATTTCTAGTTGATTCGACAACAGGAATTACACAATCTCCAATAGATATTTGACTGTTGTTGGAATCTGCTGTGGAGTTTTGTATGCTCGGTCTAGAGATCGAAAGAAATTCTCTTTTGTCTGAATTAAGTTTAAAGTAGTTTTCATGCATCCACACGCTGAATTTTTCAATGCAGTTTTCCAGTTGGTGTTTTTTCTCTGGGACGTCGCAAAGTGGGCCTCTAAGATACAACTGGGTATCATCAGCAAAGAGGTTAAAATTGGCATCACATTCCCTGATAACAATAATAACATCAGCGTGTATATTGTGAAAAGAATTGGACCGAGGACTGATCCTTGGGGAACCCCATACTATAGTACTGGTTGGTTGGGATTTTGCACCCCCAACACACTCTAATTGCGACCTACAAGTTAGGTAGGATCTGCTTAGCTCCAGTGACGAATCAAGATAGCTTTATCCTTTGCTTTAAGAAGCGCTGCAAGAGACGTTGGTGATCTATGGTGTCGAATGCGGTAATACGAATAGAATAGCATGTTTTTGCCCATCGCTCGAAGGATTCATTGTGAACCCTTGTTTTTGCTGTCTCTGTACAGTGCAGATTTCTGTAAGCAGACTGGTATGTTTCTAGTAGATTATGTAGATTCATGTGGTCTTTTAGGTAATCCACAATGATATTTTCAATAACTTTAGAAATGAAAGATAAATTTGATTTTTCAGTATATCTCGATCAGGGTTCGGTTTTTTCAGGAGTGGTTTCAAA